CAAAAACTAGTGCCACCAGGCCCCAGGAGCTCCAGCCTGAGCTCTGAGACCCTTCGCTGACTCCTTTTCCTCATCACCGCCCACATTCCTGCCGTCACCTCGTCCATCAGTTCCTCCTCTCGGATGTATCTCAGGTTGTCCCTTCAGTTGGTCTCCAACTTAGCCTGAGGCCCATCCTCTCGAGCTTGGACCTCTACAGGTGCCTCCTAACTAGGCCCCCTGCCTCACCCTTGCTCCCTGCCCTTCCTTTTTCATTCATCCTCCCCCACACCCAGAGAAATCTCCTTAAAACAAACTGGGTCACATCACTCCTCTGACCACACCCTTCTACTGTTTCCCACTGCATTCAGGAGAAAGCCCTCACTCTCTGCATCCATTGTAGCCTTGCTGGCCCTTTCTGGTCCTTGGACGTTCTTTCCTACCACAGGGCCTTGGCATGTGCTCTTCCCAAACCCCCTTCTGCTCCTCCCCGTCCCTTGGTCAGCCCCTACTCATCTTTCAGGTCTCTGCTCAAATGTCACATCCCCAAGAGGCATTTCTGGACACACCGATATAAAGTATGTCTCCTTCATCCTCTCACGAAACCCTGTCCTTTCCTTACACAGGACTTGTCACAATGATAAGGAAGTAATTACTTTTAGCTCTGCATTTAGTGTCTGCCTCTCTCACTGGGACAGGATCTGTGTTTGTGTTGTTTGCCACTTACTCGAGGTCCTGAGCACAGTGCCATGTGCACAGGAGGCACTCAGTGCAGGGAGGGAGGAGGAGAGAAGGGCGAGCAAGCTGCTGGGGGCCAGAGAAAGCTTCAGGAAGCAGAAGGTGGGGCAGGGATCTGGTCCCCTGCTGTGGGCTCTGTGGCCAGGCCAGCTCAGAAACTGCAGGGTGTCCACAGGCGTCTGTGACTGCTGCCAGCGAAGTGGCCCCTTACCTGGGACTGTGTGATGTGTGCGCGTGCCCCGTCTTGGCCCCGTACAGGTCCCCCCAGGGACCTGGCTGAGGAGAGACACGTTAGCACCAGCCCTGGAGAGGGCGTGTGCCATGAATGCGACATGTGCAGCCCCCCGAGGGGCCAGCTCTCTTGTGAGCTTCAGTTTCCTCGTATAATAAAAAATAACAGGATAATGGTTAATATCGCACAGGACTGAGAAGATGAAGTCATTGTGCACTTAGCGAAGCCCTGAGACCAACACGCAGTAAAGGAGAGTGCAGATGGGGTGCCCCACTGGTGTTAGCACCCCCGCTGAAGTGGGGAGGGTCTTCCTAGCTGTGGGAGCACCGGGCAAGCCCCTTTGTGGTCTCAGTTTTGCCTTCTGTAAAATGGGGAGTAACACATACACCAGAAACAACCCCCAGAAGCGTGTGACTCTTTCACCTTAGAGATGATGAGAGGAGAGCGGTTTGCTGGCTGTGCTGTTGCGGCAGCAGGAGGGATCTGCAGAACCATCAGACAGTCGGCTCCCAGCAGGATTCCAGGGTGACAAAGAAGAAGGGAGGGGAGATTTTAAGTGTGAGCAGATTCTGAAACATAGAGGGGAATGGGGGAGGGAGGGAAGCGTAGAGACAGATGGACAAGGTCAGGCGCAGGCTGGCACTCACTTACGAAGGAACAGAAAAGCATGCTGTGGGAAGGGGCGAGGACTGCGGGTGATTCCAGGGTGGTGGAGCCCACCCTGCGGTGAAGGTCCCCTGGGGCACAGCCTCAGCCCAGCCCCCTGCTCCAGGAGGCACAGGCCCCACTGGGAGGACGCCCCAGGAGGAGTGGAGGAGCAGCCTGTCACCCTGAGCTGTACCCCAAAGCCAGCCCCAAATGATGCTGTCATGTCCCACTGTCCGGGAACATCCGCAGAGCCTGGAGCTGACTGTGGGCCCTCTCTGCTCCTGGGTCCTCCTCAGAGAATGTCAAGGTGGGTGTTGCTGGGGGCCCGAGAGGTCACCTGGCCCAACCCCCAGCTCTACAGAGAGGGAGCCATTTGTCTCCTTGGGGCAGGCGGTAGCCTTTCCACCTCTCAACACAGCTTCTGAGGGGTTTGCAGAAACCCTCTAAGCTCTGCCAACCTCGGAGCACCTGCCCATCAAACACCGATGCCCGTGGAAGGCAGGACATACGTACGTGTGTGTGTGTTGCAGGGGTAGGGGCTGCCTCCGTCTCTGCCTCCATCCCGCTCTCCCATCCTCACCACCCCCACCACAAAAGCAGCCCCCGAGAGCAGTGGGGACACACATGCTCCGTGAGCTGCTGGACTCACATTTTAAAAGCCTCCACGTGGGCTGAACTCCGCCCCCAGCCCACCCCAACCTTACACTGGGCCCAGCTGCACCAGAGGAGCGTTTGAGGGATGCTGGTCCCCAGGTCCCTCCACCAAGCCGCCTGGTTGGTAGAGCTGGGGCAGGGCCCAGGGCTCTGCGTTTTAACCAGCTGCCTTGCGGCGGGCTCCTCTGGGATATGGGGTGTAGCCGCTCCAGCCCGCAGCCCCAGTGTCCACCCCCGCAGGCCTCCCCACCCCAGCTGTGAATGAATGATCACGCTTCTGGCTCGGGGCTGGCGTTTCCACCTGGCTGAGTCTCCCGTCCTGGTCCTGGATTCTTGGGCTCCAGGCTCATTACTGGAGCTTTTAGCTGCAGCCCCGAGTGGTGAGCGGCCACGTCACCTGAGTGGAGGGCTGGAAAGTAGGCCGCTGTGCTTGGCTGGGCGCATCCGCCCTCCCCCAGCCGCCACGCAGTCGCCTTCTGCCACCTCACCCAGTGCCCAGGCCTCCGGCGCCCACCCCCTCATTGGGTCAGCCCCGCGCCAGAGCATGAGGGAGACGGTCCCTGGACAGACTCTGGGAGGGACTCGGATGAAGGACACAGGGCGCCAGGACCACAGGGCTCAGGGTCAGGCAGGGGCCAGGTAGTGGGTGGGATAGACGGACTGACAGGGCCAAGCCCTGGGCAGCAGCTGGACACCGGACCAGGGGGCTCAGGGCCATTCTAGGGTCCTCCTGGGCGCCAGATCTCTGTGCCAGGGCTGGCCGGGCTAGGGCGCACTGCCTCCCCCTTGGCCTTGTGAGAACTGGGGGAGGTCTCTAGGATGAGAGGCCGCCCAGGGGCCGCTCTGCGCGCAGGCCCACCAGCCCAGCCTGCCGTGACTCCTCCCCCTCCTCTCTCCTGCCTTCTGTCTGCTTGCCCTCTCTCTCCTCTTTCTGTTTCTCTTGTTCTGTCTCTCTCCCCGTGTCTCTCACTGTCTCTGTGTCTCTGTCTCTCTCTCCTTGCCTCCCCGGCTCTGGCTCCCAGCCCTCTTGCTCCCTGGCCGCCCCGGTCTGCCTCCTCCCAGTAGCATCACCGTCCGGCTCAATCATGCTGGGCTGGGCTGGGGGCACAGGTGTGGGCCCCATGGCGCTGCTGTCAGAGCCCCCCTTCCCTTCACCTGGGCGCGGCTCAGGGAGGAGGGGCAACAGCTGCTGGGAAGTGAGAGTGGCCTCTCCCCTGGCCGGGCCTGTTGTCCATCTCAGATGCCAGACGCGGCCAGTTCTCATTGTTGGACCAGATCTTTATCTCCACTCCTACCCTCTCCGCACCCACCCCAGGCTGACAGCCTGAGAGAAGGCTGGGTTTGACCAAGCCGAGCGTGGCTCCCAGACTGCAGGTGGCCATCTGCCCTGCCCGTGGGGAGGAAGAAGCAAGCCCCTCCCTCCCTGCCCTGCCCTTGCCAGGCGGCCTTGTGAGGCCTGCTTTCCCTTGATCCCTCGAGAGCAGTGGAGGAGGCACAGCCACTGACCACCAGGCCCCTGACTACCACCACGGGGCTCCTTGCTTTCTCCTAGAATCTGACCATGGAGCCAGGATCACCGAGCGGGAGGGGCCTGCTCAGGGCGCGTGCCTCCACTCGCCCACCACTGGCTCGCGTCTCCTGAGTCCCGGGCGTGCTGGGCACTGAGCCGCACTCCGCAGGCGGGGCAGGTGGGCAGCGGTTGCAGGCTGTGACTCTGGTGGCACGCGCCGAGGGCTGTAGGAGCAGAAAGAGGGCAGTGCGTGGTGGGCGGGGGGGGACCAGGAGGGAGGAGAGTGCACAGCCCGTGGGTGCGGAAAGGGAGACGTCAGCTCCACGTGTGAGCCTCTGCGGCCCTCAGGGTTTGTCAGGCCTGCTGCTTCTCAGGGACTCAGATTCCTGTCTCGCTGCTCACGGCCCTGGGGACACTGGTCACTAGACCCCAGAAAGGGAGGGCCCAGGAGCAGGCCGAGCCAGGGGAGTGAGACTGCCTGGTGAGGGTGCTTGGCACGTGTCCCCCTCCATGCACTGAACGGGGACATTCAGAGGCAAACTCTCCAGGGTCAGAGGTGGCATTTCAGAGGTGGAACGGTCCTTGGGGAATAGGACTCTGACCCTCCTTTCTCAGAAGAAGAAACTGAGGTTCCAAGAGGTGAGTCTGAAGTCACAAAACTTCAGTGGTTGGCCCAGGCCCAGAATCTGGCCACATTTGTCACACTGTCCCCCCACATGAAGCCGACTTGTCACTTACCTAAGAGCGGGCTTTCCTTGGCTGCAGACCCTCAGACCTGGGAGGGACGGCATAAGAGGAGACTCCCAAATGGTGGCTGGAAGCCAGGGAGAGAGCTGGGCCTCGACAGGCCTTCGAGAGGACAGAGGAGAAACTGTGTTTGTTCACCATTTAAGCCTCTGACTCTGTACTCTGTGGGGTTGAGAGGAAAGGCCTTGGGGTTTGGAGGCGGGAGGTGGACAGCCAGCTGCTGCTGGGCCCCAGCTTCTCTGCTGGGGGAGGGAGACCCTTAGCCCACTCTCACAGGGCTGTGTGTCAGGTGAGGGGATGGGTAAGGAGGGCCCCTGGGCTACGGGAGAGCCTGGGGGGTGGTAAGTCCCCTCCCAGTTGGTCACAGGGACCAGGTCCCTCCTCCCCACCAGGGCGAGGGTTTCCAGCGAGCGGGTGGGCTGTGCCTCCCTCTTCAGCTCTAGTGGGCGAGGAGGCCCACCCCCTCACGACCCCCTCCCCTCCTGCCCTCAGCTGCGTGGTGGATGAGATGGACTTCTCTGCCATGGAGCTGGACGAAGCTCTGCGGAAGTTCCAGGCGCACATCCGCGTGCAGGGCGAGGCCCAGAAGGTGGAGCGGCTCATAGAGGCCTTCAGGTGGGACCCCTTCCCCAGCCCCACCCCTGTCACACATGCCTAGGCATGGGGGAGGGTGGGGTGGGGGGAGCAGGGCTGCTGGGAGCCTGGGGGACAGGAGGGGCTGGGGAGGCAGGAGGGAAGGAAAGAAGAGGGGCAGAACCCTCGGGCTCTCTAAGCGGGAGGGAGCAGCACCAGGCCTCCAGGTGACCTGCTGGCACCTCACTTGTCCCCTCGGCCAACACAGCTTTCCCGAGCATCTGTGTGAGGCTGACACCTGGGGGTGGGGGTGTTGGGGGGTCCATGGGTGTGTGACACTTGCCTCGTCCCTTGGTGGGGACGCGGATCAGGGTACCAGGCAGACAGCGATCAACGGATTGAGACAGAGCCTCCCTGGGCCAGAGCCCTGGGAGAACCAGACTCCCCGGATGCCCCGCACTGCTGGAGCTCAGGGCGGGTGGGGCCCCGCGTCACCCACACCACGTCCCCCCGCAGCCAGCGCTACTGCATGTGCAACCCCGAGGAGGTGCAGCAGTTCCACAACCCCGACACCATCTTCATCCTGGCCTTCGCCGTCATCCTGCTCAACACCGACATGTACAGCCCCAACATCAAGCCCGACCGGAAGATGCTGCTGGAGGACTTCATCCGCAACCTGCGGGGTAGGGGGCGGGCTTCCTCCGCAACCTGCGGCGTAGGGGCGGGCGCTGGGGTTCTCCCTGGGAGATTGTGGACGGCCACCCTGATGGCCAAGGGCACTGGGTGCTGCTCTCTGGGCCTGGTCACCGTAGCAGCCCGGGGAAGTGGTCTGCATGCCAGGCATCCGTGGAGTCTCCAGGAGCCACTGCCACAGCCCGACAGCCAGTAGCAAGGGCCCTTGGCTGATGTCCCTTGTCCTCTGCAGAATGTCCTCCCCTGGGGGACCTCCAGGCCCCTGGCAGCATGGCTGGTGCCTGCGCAGCACTGGCCCCTCCGACTCCATGACTTAGGAGAGGAGAGCCATGACTTTAGGTCTTGGGTCTGGTTGGGTCGGCCTTGGGTAACTTTCTGGCATTTATTCACCAGCCAGGTCCTCTCCTAACTCATGTGTCGATTCAGGTTTCCTGGATGTCATCGCTTCCTTGTTTTCAGTTTACTTCCAGAGGAAAGGTAAACTGGAGGCAAACTCTTCAGGAGTCTGCAAGTCTGGACATGTCTTTTTCAGTCTTCACTCCTGACTGAGTTTGGCTGGAGCAGAGTTCCCGGTTGGAAACACTGAACTCAGAATCTTGCAGGCGTCGCTCTGTTGTCTTTTAGCTGTCGGTGCTGACCGCCGGCGTATTTGGCGTTTTCACTCTCTCTGAACTTTTTAGGTTCTTCCGTTTGTCCTTTGTGCTCGGAACTTGCTGCGTGATGTGCTTGTTATGGTTCTTTTTTCATCCGTTGTGCTGGGTCAGTCTAGGAACACGCGTGCTCCTGTTGTGGGAACTCTTCTTAAATATTGTACTTGATCATTTTCCGTCCGCATTTTCTCTGACCTCACTCTCGGGGCTCCTGTTATCCAGATGTTAGACCTCCTAGTCTGAGCCTCTGATCTTTATAGCTTGCTCTCTGCCACCTGTGTCTTCTTGTGGGACTTTCTCAAAGATGTGCTTCAGTTTTACCTTTCAAGTTTCCAGCTAAGTCTTTCACTTCTGCTGGCATAGTTTTCACTTTCAGGAACTCTGTTTTGGCTCTCTGAATGTCTCTTTCTTACAGCATTTTGTTCCTGCTTTGTAGCTGCAATATCCCCTTAGCTATCTCTGAAGATGCGAACAGCGCGCTTCCACCTGTTTGTTTTTTTTCAGCTTCTCCCTCCACGCCGCTATTTCTCCTAAGTCCCTTTCCCCGCTTTCCCCGTGCTTTCAGGGTTAGACTTTCCGTGGATGGCTGGTGAGGCTTGGTTGTCCGTTGATACTTAAGCGTGAGCCACTGAACGGCTGATTAAAGCTCTGAGTGTGTGTGGGGCGGCGGGCTGGTGGGCGTTCTCATGGAGGGAGGCCCGGCTGCAGTATCTTTAGGTATTTCCTCCTGAGCTGGTTGATCCCTCAAAGGAGAAATGTCCAATCTGCTGCCCAGAGGGTACGAGTCTGGCTGCCAACATTCTGAGATCTTTGTGGGGAAAGGGGTTGAGGGGGCCTCCTGATATGTAGACATCAACTCCATCCCTTAGTTTTCGGCACAGACTCCCACGTGGGCTGGGCTCAGGTTCCCCAGCCCAGGGCTCCTGGCTCACCTCTTCTGGAGGATGCACCCTCCGTCAGAAGGCTGGGTGCGGGCGAGAGGATAGAGGTGTCTAACCGCTTTCTAAAGGGATTTTCAACTGACTTCCCTGTTTCCAGCCCACCTTCATCTCCACCTCCAGGGGTTCCACCAACTCCAGAGCCCTTTGGTGGTTCTGAGCCTTCTAACCTCCCTCCGGCTTCCGCTTCTGCTTTCTCAGACTTGCTGGTCCACAGGCTTACTCACCCACTTTCTGGCCCCCTGGTGCCACTGCCTCTTCCCCTGTCACTGCTTTAAAAAAAAATCCTTCTTCCAGGGCATTCAGAAGGAGCAGAGGTGGGCAATCTGCCACCTCTACCCAAAAGCCTGTGTGTTCAGTCCCTGCCCTGCTCCTTCTGGCCCCAGCCTGGCTTCTTCCAGGCCCCCAGGTGCCGAGTGGCTCCTGTGCCCGACCGTCAGCACCAAGCTCAGACGTGGAGGAGACAGGGTCGAGACAGAGAGTCGCTCACAGAAGGTGTACTATCCCCCAGCCCTTAGGAAAACTCTTTGGGAGCAGTTGCCCAAGATGTTTTATTTTTAATTTTTCCCTCTTAAAAAAAAAAGAGAGAAGTGTATAATCATTCAAGAAAGACGTAGAAAGAAGACTTTTTTAAAAACTGCCTCTGTGCCTACCTCCTGGGGAAAGTTGTTTTCACATTGGTATGCTTCCTGTGACTCTTCTTTGTCACCGGAGTCTGGTCGTTGCTGTGAGTGGGCACCGCCACCACGGGGCCGCCCTGCTCGCCTTCGCTTAATGTGTCACCCCCCCACCGGTGCTCCCAGTCCGGGAGGATCTTGTCACCATTCAGCAAGTGATCACGGGGCTCCACGCTCCCTGCAGGAAGGGAGTGGGGAGCCTGAGAAGACAGGACACTACGGGGTGGAGGGGCAGGGGTGGGGCAGGGGACTGTTAAGACTAGAACAGGAGTTCTAGAACTAGGGCAGGAGTGAAGGCAGGAACAGGAGGCAGGAGGCCTGGGAGATGGGAGTGGGGGGCTCTGGGTCTGGGACGGCAGGAGGCGAGGCCGGGGTGTGCGCTGGGCAGTGTTATGGTAGCTCGGGTGCCTGGCTAAGGAGTTTGTCCCTAATTTAGCGGGTATGGAGAGCCAGCCATTGAAGGCTTTGGAGCAGGGTCAGGGCAGAATCAAGGCCGCCCTCTCTGGCTGCCGGCCCCTGACACCCCTCCCCTTCCCACTCCACGTGCACAGGTGTGGACGATGGCGCCGACATCCCCAGGGAGCTGGTGGTCGGCATCTACGAGAGGATTCAGCAGAAGGAGCTCAGGTCCAACGAGGACCACGTCACGTACGTCACCAAGGTGGAGAAGTCCATTGTGGGCATGAAGACAGTAAGTGCCCACCAGGGGGCAGCGCTCACCCCAGAAGTGGGGAGAGGGGTGGCTTCCCCTCCCTGAGGCCCCGAGGCCCGCCCCCGCCCCCATCTCCATCTCTGTCCCTTTCTTTCTTCCTGGCATCCCCCTCCCTTTTCAGGAACACTCCCCCCTTACTTGCTCACTTCCCGTTACTGAGTGCCTGCTGTGTGCCGGGCTCTGCACCCTCTTCCTTCCACTTGCCTGGTTTCCTCATTGTCTCGCTACCAGCTCCTGCAGCAGGAGAGACTGCAGTCGGACATTGGGAAAGACTGTCCAGTGCTCTAGGGTGGAAGCACCTTGATGGCCAGACAGGGAGGTTTGGGCTGGGCTGGGTCCTGGGCTTCCTGGATGGTCCTCCTGAGCAGAAGGCAGGGAACAGGCTGAAGCAGGCTCTGGCCTGGGGGGTCCCAGACCACTGGGGGGGCCCTGAGTTGTGGCCTGGGTGGCAGTTTGCAGGATGTTCTGAGTCTGCAGTGGGTTTTAAGGGAACGTTCTCCATGGGTCACTGCTCTGTTCCTGTGTCCACAGAGGCATTTTATATCATAAATATAAGGGTTCTGCTCTCCAGCTCCTCCTCCCCAAACTGCCAGCTCAGGGCGCAGTTCGGGGGCCTCGCCTGCGGCTGGACCCCTCCGCCCAGGCGTGGGGGGTGGCCTCTTCTGCCCAGGGCCTGTAGTGCTGAGGCCATAGCCTCTGTCAGGTTTGCAGATGCCCCCGGATCAGGTTGTGTCACTGGAGCAGACTTGCGGGGTCCCTGTGACCCCTCCCTCTTGCACACTGGGCTTAGGGGTGCAGCAGAGAAGAGGGCCGCGACCCGTCCTGTGGGCAGCAGCCCAGGATGTGGGGATGCCCTTGGAGGGAAGAGGGTTCACAGTGACCGGATGTGAACAGTCCAAGGCTCTTCTCAGTTTCCTCTCACATCCTCACTTCCTCCAGTGTCACGAACCCCTCTGGCCCAGCCCAGCTCCCTAAAAAGCATGAAGAAGGGGAAAGAGCCGGGGAGGAGAGAGGAGGGTTAGGTCAACCTGGGCCGGCCTCGCTCTTCTGGAAAGCAGGTGCCGGGGGTGGGGGACGGGCCGACCTCTGCAGCCACCCCACTGCTGAGCGCCCTGCCTCCCCCAGGTGCTGTCGGTGCCCCACCGCCGCCTGGTCTGCTGCAGCCGGCTCTTCGAGGTGACGGACGTGAACAAGCTGCAGAAGCAGGCCGCGCATCAGAGAGAGGTGTTCCTCTTCAACGACCTGCTGGTGGTGAGCGGGGGGCGCCGGGAGGGCTGGGGGCGCAGGGACCGTACCCGAATGCTGTCTGCCTGGGGGCTGACTTTCCCATATAAAGTACAGTGTGAGGTAGCCCAGGCAGGTGGCACCATCCCTACTCTGTAAGTCAGAAAGCCGAGGCACAGAGAGGTTAAGTTATCTGCTCACGGTTACCCAGTCCGGGTGGAAATGAACTCGATCCCAGAGCATCTGCCGCTGCCTCATTATGGGAAACCTGGGGCGGGGAGGGTCCAGAGCGCAGCGGGCCTGAGTGGGGCCCGCACCGTCCCTGGTCCTAGGGGATGCTGGCCTGTGTGCCTGCGTGTGTCTGTCCACGTGCACGTCTGAGGGGTTTGGGTCCTTTGCTCTTTGAACACAGGTATCCATTCAACACATTTTTAATGACTGTCAGCTACATGCCAGGCATTGTTCTAAGTGCGGGAAGCAGTGGTGAGCAGGCTCTGGTGTCTCTTTCCCTCCTACCCAACATCCTCTCCATCCAGGAATCATACCCACACTCCCTCTAAAACTGTCCCAGATCTAACCATCCCCACCTGAGGTCCACATCCACAGAGCAGTGGAGTCAGCCCCGCCCGCCCACAGACCTCACCTCCCTCCACGCCTCTCCCCTGCTGCCTGCCCCCTGCCCCAGCTGCTGCCTCCCCTGCTGGGCTCCGTCCACCCCAGGCCTTGATCTTGCTGCTCTTCTGCTGCTAAGAAGCTCCCCAGACCTTGCACAACCCCCTCCCTCCCTCTCATTCGGCTCCAGCGCCCTCCCAGCCCACCTCCCAGGTGGCCTGTCCACTCACGGTCTAGTCCTTACCCTGCTTTACCGTCAAAACACATACCAGCTTCTGCAGTTACCTTTTATATCCAGTTCTCCTCCTCCTCCCCCTCTTCCTCCCCTTCCTCCTCCTCCTTCTCCTCCTCATCCTCCCCCTCCTCCTCCTCCTCATCCTCCCCCTCCTCCTCCTCCTCCTCCTTCCTTCTCCTTCTTTTTTTTTTAATGCTTATTATGGGTTATTGATTAATCCATTGAGTTACACCCTGGGGATCTGAGCATCCCAAGGGCGGAGCTCCCTCCATCCTCTCCTGTGCCCCCTCCTGTGTCCCCAGAGCCCAGCTCAGAAGGTGCCAAGGACACATTTGTGTTGAGCAACTGCTAGCAGACCTTTCATGTCAGTGGGGAAGGGAGATAGGAAATACAGAAAACTAACAAGGGGACAGCAAACTGGGGGAAGGTGCTGTGAAGACACCAGCACTCTGATCGGGTGGAGTAACTGGTGTTAAGGTGGATTTTTTTGGTTTTGTTGGCTTGTTAGATAGGATGGTCAGGGAAGGAATCTCTAAGGGGCAGCATTTGAGTTAAGATCTAAGTAGTGACAGTAACCGAGCCATACAAGAAGCTGCAAGAAGGGACAGTTGTGGAAGGAAATAGCAGGTGCAAAGACCCTGCGGTGGGACTGAGCCTGCCCTGTTCTAGCTACAGAAAGGACAGCACGGCCTGAACATAAAGGCAGAGTAAGGCAGGGACCAGGTCAGATGGGGCATACAAACCAGGGCAGGAAGTGTGGACTGGCCTCTAAGTACACAAAAATGGAGGTTTTTGTGCAGTAAAAAACATATTTTGATATTGTGTGTGTACATATGTACACGTGTGTATATATGTGTTTACTTGTGTTCACAAGAGCCCCGGGCGTTCACTCCTCCAGGTGTGTCATGCACGTTTGTGTGAGCGCACACCTGTCAGCACACGCCTGTCTCCCTCTCTTGGACAGATTCTCAAACTTTGCCCCAAGAAGAAGAGCTCTGCCACGTACACCTTCTGCAAGTCCGTGGGCCTGCTGGGCATGCAGTTCCACCTCTTCGAGAACGAGTGTAAGTCTCGGTCGCCAGGGATGCGCAGAGGGGGGAGGGGACGAGGGAGGGCACAGGGACCTGCAGCTGCTCACGGCCCCTGGGGGCCTGGGGTCTGGTTTCCAGATTACTCTCATGGCATCACGCTGGTGACCCCGCTCTCGGGCTCCGAGAAGAAGCAGGTGCTGCATTTCTGCGCCCTGGGCTTGGACGAGATGCAGAAGTTTGTGGAGGACCTGAAGGAGTCCATCGCGGAGGTGACGGAGCTGGAGCAGATCCGGATAGAGTGTAAGGATGGGATCACCCCAGGCCCTCTGGGCAGTCAGGCTTCTGTCAGCAGGAGCAGGGTGCTTGTAGACACACACTCCCTGTGCACTTCAGAGTAAGCGCGGGTGAGCAAGGCCCCTCCTGCCCTCCTGCCCCCCCGCCCCGCCCCACTGCACCATCACGGCTGATGTGGGTGCTGCACGATTAAGAAGAGACACACGAGAGCGTGCACGTGTGTGTGTCCATGCAGCCAGGCCCTGGGGCGGCATGCAGGCCCTTGGAACACGGAACTCGGCTGGCTTTGAGGAGGAGACCAGGACCTGCGAGCCAGCCAGCCTGAGAGGCTGGAGGCCCAGGCCCCTGCATGTCTCTTCCCACCGAAGCTCCCTGGACAGCCCTCTCCCTGGATCCAGTCCAGGTTCACACGAAAGTAGCCGCTTCAGAGCCTTTAAAGGAAAGTTAAATAGAAAAGGATCCAGAAACTAAAACAGAAAATACAGACAGATTCCAGGTCTGCCTTCTATGGCCACTTAGTTGAAACGCGTTTCTAAACGGATATAAACCCATCAGGCAGTAGGAGAGGCAGCGGGCGTCCCGAATGGGGAGGGGGGTGGGGCAGGCCCGACAGGGCGGCGCTGAGGAATCGCTGTCTGTGGGGCCCCCTGTGGGCCAGGCAGTGTGTCAGCTGCTCACAGCAGAGGACTCGGCACTTGCATTTAAGTCTGATCCTGAAGTTCGTGTACTTTCTACTCTGAAAATGAGAGAATAGTTTCCATTTATAATTTCCTAAGGAAACAACGAAATCGGGTTAAAACAAAAACCCAGCAGACCAGACCATGTAACGGACTCATGACTGCCTGGTGCAGGGGTGGGGGCGGTGTAAAGCCCCTTGCTGCTCTCCACTGGCTACTGGAGTTCAGGGGGGTCACAGGCAGACCCTTCTCAATGCCACCTCGGCTGCTGATCTCAAACGTTCTCAAGGACACGCCCCGAAATGGCCCCACTTCTCTCATGGCCAGAATGTCACAGGTGGGTCCGCACAGCCCCGGAGCACGGCGCCCACGGGCAGGCGCCAGCACTGCTGGAGGAGGCGCGCCTCCCCCGTCAGCCCGGAGCAGGGCGCCCCGCCCCTCCAAGCCCCAGGAGTAGATAACGCCGAGTCTGTATGTCGAGGGTGAACAGCCTTCCTGCTCACATCTGCCCCTGTTCTTCAGATGCAGAGAAAGGGGAGACAGTGGAGGGGAGGCAAGGGCCTGGTCAGGGAGGCGGGAAGGAAAGGAAGTGGGAAAAAGGGAAAAGCAGCAACAGGTCCCATTAATCGAGCATTTACTACACGCCCGGCCCTGGGCTGACTGCCAGGCCTACTGTGTCATTTAACTCTGGCCACATCTCTTCCATGAGGTGAGGAGCGTTACCCTCATGTTACCAACGAGGAAACTAACAGGACTTAAGGAAGTTGTCCAAATTCCTGCAGTCAGTGACCAAACAAGATTCGCACCCAAGTTCCTCGGATCCCTTGCCTGTAATTACAACGCTAATTCCTCTGAAGCCGAGACGGCCCCTCCGGGGGGAAGAGGAACGACTCTCAGTTCAGTAAAAGTGTTCAGTATTGGTCGATGGTGTGATTCAGGCAGTCAGTGCGAATGCTTCTAGTCTGGGGGATTTGCAGGCCAGTGTCCCTGGCTGACAGGCGACTAGAGAGGCAGAAAATGGGACCCAAGAGACTGGCTTTAATAAGAGGAACTTGAGTTCTGTCTCCTGGAAAAGTGAAGCTGAGGGGGGATTTAATTATGACCATCAAATCTCCACGGAGGGGACTGGCTGTTCTCTAGTACCTTGGACAGAAGACAGGTAGGGACAGGTTTACAGTCCAGTGAGAGGAATTAAAGCTGGGTAGCCAGACAGATGCGGGGGCCTCCCCTCCAGGAAGACGGGCAAGCGGGCGCGGTGGGCAGCCGGGCGGCAAGGGACGCCTAGATGTCATCATGGGAGCTAGTATGCATGAGCTCTGGCCGCAAGCCGGGCCTTGTTCTAAGTGCCTTAGTGTATTTCCTCATGGGATCCTCATAATGATGCTTTGAAGTGGACACTTCAGTCCCCGCAAGGGAGGCACAGAGAGGTTAAGTAACCTGCCTAAAGCCACACAGCCAGGCAGCATCAGAGCCAGGCTGCAGACCCAGGTGTTCACCTCCCTCATATCCACCTCTCCCACCTCCTCTCCGGCACCCAAGCAGGGGCTACCATCCCTGTAAACAGAAGAGGTTCCAGCGGGCATGGGACCTGCCATGAAGTGGGTGCCAGACTCTGAGGCCTGTGTCCCGGAGCGCCCCCCCGCTCTCTCCTCGTTCCTCCCCTCCCCTCTGTGTGCTGGACGTCAGGGTTTCTCTCCATTCATGAGCCTCTCGGTTTCCCAGGGGAGCTGGAGAAGCAGCAGGGGGCGAAGACGCTCTCCTTCAAGGCAGGTGGAGCCCAGGTGGACCCACCGTCGAAACAGGGATCGCCCACGGGTGAGTTCCACACCCCAGGCCTGCGGCGCTTGGAGGCCACTCACTGCTCGCAGGCTTGGGTTCCTGGGGAACTCGGGTGAGGGCCACGCTCAGTCCCACGGCCGAACACCTCCTGGGGCCTCAGCAGTGGGAGTGAGGGCTAAGGAGAGAGAAACGTGTCCCCTTACAGAGTGCACTGGTGCCCACGGTCCCCGTGGAGGCGTTGGGCTGAGAGCCCGGAGGCCCTGCCCAGTGCAAGGCCTTCCGCCCTCCACAGCGGGGCTCTCTGAAGACTGCCGGGTCGCCGGGTGGTCAGAGGTGTGCAAAGGGAAACCACACGAGGAAGAACACTGTGTCTACGGCCAGGAGCAAGGCAGGAAGGAGGGTGGCCGGAAGGGCCTGAAATCCTGAGCTGCCCCGTCAAGACCTTCTCCCAGTAAGCCGCCAGCACTTCCTGATCCCAGGCCAGGGTCCCGCCCGAAACCCAGATGAACCTTGAACCCAGTTTCTCAAATGGTTTCTTCTGACGGAATTTTTCACTCCAGACGAGCCGAGCCGGCTTCAGATTTCATACCACCTTTGGCCACGTTCTGCTTCCCCTCGCCCACTGCCACACCCCCACCTTTCCCCCTCTGGCCCCTCACCTCCCCGCCACCTGCAAGGAGATGGGGAGAGGTGCGTCCACACCCACCCCACCTGCCCCCAATAAGATAGAAATAGGAGAGGTGGCATGAGAATTAAATCCCGTCCCAGCAAAACCCCAGCGAACCATCCAGAACTCTTCACGAAGGAGTTGATTTAGGCACTTATTCTTCCATTTAATGAGCACTTATTGAGTGCCTGCTGTGTGCCCTGTGCTAAGCCCTGGGATGCCAGGGTCCCAGCAAGACACCAGCTGGAGCTGGGCTCCCTGCTGGTCCCAAACCCCCAGTTATGGACATGGTGCCGCGAAGCTGTGACAGCCTCACAGGACTGGTCACACCAGCTGGGAGATGAGAGTCCTTTTCCAAGCAAGACGCGGGGCTCTTCTAGCTGCACAGAGACCCTGTGGTGTCCCCTCTGTGCATGGGTTTGACCTGCCACCGTGCGTTCGTAACGCGCCACCGGCCTTGTTTTCAGTGACCCTTCATTTCTATAAGGTCACAGCACATGCTTGTTTTCACAGCTGTTTAAACGCAAGAGTCAAACCTCAGCCGTGAATGATTCCCGGACACCCGCCCCCCCCCCCCCCCGCACTCCCACACTCCCA